ATGTATATGCTCATCTCTTGGAACCATAACATCTCTTTAACAATAGAAAGAACTATTACATATATAGTAAATTTCTGTTTTGAAACATGTTAGTCATACTCCTCATTTCAAGGCATACTCAACATCATCACCCTGTTACAAGGCTCTTGTTTCATTTCTTAATTTTTCACTTCATTCCTATTCCTCTCCATTCCCCTTTAAAATTATGCTGATGTGTTTGATATCTGTGGTGAATATGTATGTATCTTATATTGTGGTATTTTGAGTTCATATGTTTATATACATCTGTGTTATAGATCTCCTTTTCCCTCAGTCAACTTTACATTTACAGCATGCATACTTAATTCTAATGTACTGCATATACACACATTATTTGACTAAATAGGCAAATTCTTTCTGGAATGACTATACTTGTTTACATTTCCATTGATTGCTAATTATTTTCTCATCACACTTTATAATTTTTTTCCACTTTTAGTTTTAATTTGTACTTCATTGACTGTAAATGAATCTAATAAGGCATTCCTTACTCTGTAAATTTCTCATTCATATCTACTGCCCCTTTTTCTATATAATTCCTTTCTTTGTGATTTCTAAGTTCTTTATAATCCCTTAGACATTTTAGACATTGAAGAGCTCTTAGCCTGTTAACTTTTTTTTTTTCGGTTGTACCTATGATGAGGACTGCTAATAAGATAGCAGTCAAAAATCTAAAATCTATTGAAGCTGCTTACATAGCTGCTTTATTGAAAATTACATTTCTGCTTTATCTTTAGCTGATTGAGGCCGTGTGACTAATTTTGCCAATAAAATATGGATAAAAGTATTGTTAGTAGTTCTACCTCAAGAACTTCAAAAGAAAAAAATTTTTGATGTGGACGTCTGTTTTTTTCTTCTTATCAGTTAGAATATGGATGTGTTTTAATTTCAAGCCATGTCTTAACTTTCACTACATCATAGAAAATGACATGGCTGTTGTCAGTTTCTTAGTGACTGTGGGACAAAACTGTCTTGCCAAATGTAACTACCCTTAGGAACAGTAATCTTAAGAAAAAAATGAATTTCAGTCCAGTGTTTGAAAGCTAGTTTGTTTTTGAAGCCTAAAGTTGACTATAATATAGTGTTTTTTAAAAAGCATAATGTGGGGCCCTCCCTAGTGGCACAGCACTAAGAAGCTAAAGCCACTTCTGCATGAGTTCCATCTCTGCCTGCCCTGGAGGTGACCCACATGGCACTGCAGACCTCTCCTGACCCACCCGCTGCTCCTCTCAGCAGTGTATTTCATCAGTCTGTGTTCTACTCCCCATTGTTTCTCTGGCGAAGCCTCTCCCCGACTCTGCACCACTGGTCTGTACTTCCAGTTCTGTATGCACAAATAAATAAATCTTTAAAAAAAAAAAAAGCATAATGTGTCTCTCTTTTTTAAAAGATTTATGTATTTATGCATACAAAAAACTCAGTACATGAGTAATTTTTTTTAGTGTGTTAAGTTTCTGTGCCTTATCTTTAGGTTAATTCCTAGATACGTGTTGGTTTTTATTGCTGTTGTGAATGGTACCTTATTTTCAAATTGACTGTTTTGGTGTAGAGCAATGATACTGATTTTATAAATTGACTTTGTAACTGGCAGTCTTCATAAACTCATTTACTCTAGTAGTTTATCTACATCATCTGTTTCCTTTCTTCCAATCTTTTTACCTTGTTTTTTTCCCCCCCTCTCCCTACTTTATTATATTGGCCAAGTCTTCCAGGATTATTTTGAATAAATCCTCAGTGTGTATCTTTTCTTGTCTGTGTCTTGAACGGATTGCTTCTAAAGGTTTTCCATTTTGTTACAGGTTTTTAATATATGAAGTTTGTCTATTCATAATTTATTGGCACTTTTTAATAAAGCATAAATAGGCATTAGAACTACCAAATGCTCTTTTTTACATACTATTAGACTCAAATATCTGTTTTTATAAATGAAATGAATTTCAGTTCTCAAAATGTGCATTTTTAATTTACAGAGGTGACTAGAATGAGAGTATTCTTACTTAAAATTCCCAAGAGAAGGCAGCATACCATTCCACACAGCCTAAGAGGAAAATACCAGGTTTTGGTCAGGAATCAAAGGCAGGAACGAGGGAGTATTATTTGAGTTGTGTCTTAGAAGTTCTGTCATGTAGAAATTCCACTATTATATTTTCTGAATACTTTGTAGTATCCTTAGTGATTTTTTTCTTTAATCTCAGGATTTAGAGGTATGACTTGTTTTTGGATGGAAGGATGGTGTAATTTTGTTTTTTCAAGATGTCTTACTACTGTTTTTGTTGTTACAGATTCCTAGTTGTATTGTGATCAAAAAATATAGATTGGTATTTGTATTTGGGGGAGGTTGTTGACTTCGTGTTGTACATATGGCTTATGTGAATTATTGTATATTTAAAAAGCCATGTATATTTTCTGTATCGTGCAAAGTTCACTACACTTTAGCTTAAACTTACTTATATCTTATGTAATTGATTTTTTTCTTCTTCGTGCCATAGAGGAGTAAATTTAAATTGCCATTTAAAATTATTGTTGTAAAAATTATTGCTCTGAAAGTTGTTGATTTATGTGTATTTGCAGCAGTGTTACATAGGTAAAATTCCTATACCATATAGTCTAATGATTTTTAGTGCAGCAGTGGCCCATTACCATGTGTTGGTGTCTGATTTTTCCTCTCCTTCAACATTCCCAGTCTGTTGCCTTTTTTTCTTTAGTTCTCAAAAATGTGTCATTCAGTTATTTCTCTGAATGTGTTCAGTTTATGTCTTTCGGATCTTCAATCTTCTGTTTTTATAAATTTTAATAATGCAGTGGAAGAGACAGGATCTCACTATACATTTCTTTACAACTTCAAGAATTTATAATTATTTTTAAAAAGTATAAAACTTACACTTTAACAAAAATTCCCACCCCAATAAGGCTACTTATTAAAGACAGGTAATCATTCACTTGGCCTTTCCTTGTATCAGGTCCTACCTCTGGTTATTTTAGCAGCACGACTCAAAAGAGTTCCTTCTAATTTATTCATATTTTGGGGCAATGTATTTTCATTTATAAGTAGTTCCTAGTAAAACCATTGTCATTTCTAGAAAACTCATTTCTGACTATGCCATAGCTATGCCCCGTGGCTAGTGAAGAATTCAAATGTTTATATCATTCATTTTCCTGAATAGAATATTCCTTGTCTCATACTACACAACTTCAAATAAATACCATCCATAATTTTATTAAGCATACAGATACACACACTGTAGAGTGTATATCCACTCTTTTGAGAAACAAACCTCTTACTATTTTCATAGGGACTACACCAATCTACCTTCACACTAGCAGTATAAGAGGGTTCCTTTTTCTCCACATTTCTTATCAGCATTTGTTTCTGGTCCGTCCTAAGTGGTGTGAGGTGGTGTCTCGTTGTAGTTTTGCTTGCATTTCCCTGATGATTAGTGATGGTGAACATTTTTTCAAGTGTTGGCCAGCTGTATGTCTTCTTTGGAAAAGTGCCATTTAGCTCTTTGGCCCAATTTATTTTTCTAATTGGGTTATTTGTTTTTGTTGAGTTGTATGAATCCTTTATTTATCTTTGATATCTGTCCCGTGTTAGATTATAAGGTGTGTAAATATTTCCTCCTATTCAGTAGTGTCCCTCTATTTTAGTGTTTCTTTCATTGTGCAGAAGTTTTTTAGTTTGTTGTAGTCCCAGTTTATATTCATTTTTGTTTTCCTTGTTGGGGCAGAGTATTATTAAAAGTAAATGTATCGGCCCTCCCTGGTGGCGCAGCGGATTAAAGCACAGCACTGAGAATCTAAACTACTTCTGCATGAGTTCGATTCCCACCTGCCCCAGAGGTGACCACATGGCATGGCAGACCTCCCCTTACCCGCCCACTGCTCCCCTCAGCAGCGTACTTCGTCCATCTGCCTGTTCTCTTCCCCACTCTGTCTCTGGTGAAGCCTCTTACTGCCCCTGAGCCTCTGGCCTGTACCCCAGTTCTGTATGCAAAAAAAAAAAAAAGTAACTATCACTAGACTAGTTTTTAAAGCTATTGATATACCATAAATTTTACCCTTTTGAGGTGTACTTTTCAGTGTTGATTAGTATATTTACAAAGCCTTCCATGTATGTATTTTTATTTTTATTCTGGCTTTTGTATATTTTATATTTTTATGTAAGCTTTATATTATTTTTCTTATGTATTTTAATTATTTTTTTGATTCAAGTTGAATGCCTTATCTGGAGAAGCTTTCTTAATTCCTCATGCATTTAGTTTCTTTCTATGCTGTGACCTCATATTCAAAATCTGTATGTTGTATTGCTTGCTACCCTTATACTATAATTATCTATTTAGCTAGTTGTCTTCCTTTTCAAACAGTTTAGTTCTTTAGGACAGACTGTTATTTTTTCCTCCATCTTCAGGAGTTAGAAAAATGCCTGATATTGTAGGCTTTTAGGTACATATTTATTGAATAGTTAGAACCACAGATACTTCTTGCCACACTTTAGCCTTAAGCATATATAAAGAGGTTGGTGTATTAAATTGCTAGGAGGTATATAGTTTTAGTATTACAAGGGATTTGAACAGAAAGACTTCAGCAGGGACCTGAAATACAGTGCAGTTCTTGCCCACCCAACACCTGTATGCTTACACATTCATACATTCATATGTGCACACAACATATGCTGAAGTCTATAGAGTCTGAATAATTTAATGATGAAGTTGGGGCTAGAAGCCCATGTTACTAATTTTTCCAAATCCATGTTACCTAATTTTTGTTTTTCTTAAACTTTATAGCCTACTCATGATTTACATTGAAAATTACTTGTTTCCTAAAGTTTAGGGAAGAGACCTTGAAAATGTTAATTCATAGTACTGTCTTATTTGTAATTATGAGAAATCAGTTGCTTGTTGTATCTTGAACAAGATATTTTTAATTGGTTTAAACAACAATAACATTTTTCTCTGTTACAGTCCTCTGTGAGTGAAAGCCTTCAGAGGGAAGCTGCTAAGAAACAAGCAATGAAGCAGGTAAAGTTGAAGAGTGAGTTAAATATGTTCAGTGAAGTATCTCAGCTCACATCTTTAAGTATCAGTTTTGGTATATAGGTATGTTGTTGTTGTTTTGTTTTGTTTTTTAAGTAATAGAATGGTAAGACTTTTTTTTTTTAAGATTTATTTATTCATATAGAACTGGGGTACAGGTCAGAGATGCGGAGGATGAGAGGATTCACCAGAGACAGAACGGGGAGCAGAACAGGCAGATCAACGAAGTACACTGCTGAGGAGTGCAGCAGGAGGGTCAGGAGAGGTCTGCCTCACCATGTGGATCTCCTCGGGGCAGGCAGGAATCGAACTCACGCGGAAGTGGCTTAAGCTTCTTAGTGCAGTGCTTTAACCCACTGCACCACCAGGGAGGGCCTTTTTTTAAAGATTATTTATGCATACAAGAGATGGGGTGTAGGCCAGAGATGTGGGAGGATGAAAGGATTTATCAGAGACAGAGTAGGGAGCAGAATAGACTGATCCACTGAAATACACTGCTGAGGGGAGCAGCGGGTGAGACAGGAGAGGTCTGCTGTGCCATGTGGGTTAGCTCCTTGGCTGGGGATCAAACTCTTTGCTGCAGTGGTTATAGATAGCTTCATAGTGCTGAGACGTAACCCCCTTGTGCCATAAGGAGGTTCAGCCATGTTTGTTTTTAGATGATTTAGTAAGTTGTCTAGCAATGGATTATGTAATAATTCCTACTAGCGAGCTCACTTTTTTTGTTTTTTGTGAGCTCACTTTTAAAAAGCCATACAGAATGATTTCAGATGTTTTATAATAATGTGAAAATCATCTCCCAAGATAGGGTAATTTTCAGTAGACTTTATAGCATCATTTGTTTGTATGGTACTGGATAGTAGTTCTCAGAATTTTTAAAATACATACATTATCTTTGTAAATTCTTAGACCTGACTGTAGTGCTGATTAAGAAGCACAAAACTTAGTAATTACCCCTTACTACTCATGATCAGACAGCTAATTTTAGAGCTAGATCTGAAATTTACTAATTTTTCTAATGCTTCACCTCTTAGATTTTGCTGCTGCAGTATATGAAACTAAACAATGCCAGAAAACCTTTCTTTTTATTTTAATTCTTAATTCCTTTGCACTTTCCTTATAATTTGGTACCTATTTCTCCCTGTGTAAGATATCAGCTTACTATTTTATAAGTATATTTTCTTTGTGCCAAATGTTATAGTCACCATCTCCTAAGAATTATGTTTAATTTTTACCCCAGGCCTGTGAGAGAGATGGTCTTACATAAAGTCTCCATTTTATAGTTATGAATGAAGGCAAAAAGGAATTATGTGACTTCCAGGAAGTCACAGTTAATAAATGGTGAAGTTGTGTTCAAAACCAGACAGAGAAATTATAAAGCCAAGCTTTTTTAACCATTGTGTTTTATTCCCTTTTTGGGGACTGGGCATGGAATTTTGTATCTATTTTACAATAATAACTAGTTTTGTCATGAAATATAATACGAAACTTAGCCTCCTTAAAGTGATTGAATTTACTTGCTGAGTGTTTTAAGTTAGATTCAGAAAGCAACAGAAATATAGAGAAACCATCAAGTGTAACTTCTTCACTTACAGGAGAATTTTTTCCAGAGAATCTGGTGACTTCTCCAATATCATGTGGGTGTACTATATTCTAGGATTCTTCTGACATTTTGGGCTTTTTCTTATATACTTAAGGCATAAATCCCAAATCTAATTTTGTTTCTAACTGGCTTACTCAAATGTACTTTTTCCATTATCATAGCTTTTTCATAGTTAGTTTGAATTGAGAATTGGGAATTTTTCTACTGCTACACCCGTGTGTATCATAGATTTTGCTGCAGCCAAGTCTACCTCTCACCTTTCTGGTGTTGCATTGCTCGCCCACCTATGCTACCTGCTTTTCACCCCTCAACCTTTTTTGATCGCAAGCTAAATTTTATCATGAAGAATACTAGCTTGATTGCACTTACTTAAGGTAAGAGAATATACTCTTGTAAATGGGATGCTTTATCTAATAGTTAGATCACATTTTTTCTTATTTCTTTATATGGATCTCAAATGTACATAACTGATGGCATCTTATTCCCTGTTTCATTGAAAAATCTTTTTAGTATGTCATCATTAAATAGAATATTTGCGATGAATTTTTAGGTAGTTATCTGTTCTCAAACCAAGAAAATTCTTTACTGTTCTTGGTTTGCTCTTTTATTTTTTGAAGCTATGAATAGAGGAGCTACATTACATTTTTTTTTTTTAAAGATTTATTTATTTGTACAGAACTGGGGTACAGGCCAGAGATGCGAAGGGTGAGAGGCTTCACCAGAGACAGAGCGGGGAGCAGAACAGGCAGATCGACGAAGTACACTGCTGAGGGGAGCAGCGGGCGGGTCAGGAGAGGTCTGCCACGCCATGTGGTCACCTCCGGGGCGGGTGGGGATCGAACTCATGCGGAAGTGGCTTTAGCTTTTTAGTGCAGTGCTTTAACCCGCTGCGCCACCAGGGAGGGCCCGCTACATTACATTTAATTGACATTGTAAACATGTTCATTTCTTACCAGTAAAGTAAGGTCAGTTTAACTTCAAGAAGTTAATCATTGTAAACTCAATATAAACATAAAATATCCTTTTTATACACCATTGCATTTGGTTACTAAAATTTCATTAAAGATTTTTCATGAAAGTTTTGAGGATTTTTTGCATTGAAAGTAAGATTGGCTTGTGATCTTTATTTTCTTTCACTGCAGTTAGATTGGAAAAGATATAAAAGTTTGAAATACTAAGGTTTGATGGTCTTATGAAATGAACTGCTCTTATTTTTGAGTTTGTTTCTGTCTCATTAATATTCTCCTGACAAGTTATTTTTCATCCAGCAACTATTTACTTTATTGGTGTATAACTGACACCAGTTCATGTATGCTACTTAGTCAACATTTATATTACAAAATAACTACCATAGTAAAACTAGTTAACATTTTTCATTTTAATCAGTTTTTTGTATGTGATTGGAACTTTAAGATTTATTCTCTTAGCAACTGGCAAGTATGTAATACAGTATTATTAGCCAACTGAGCATTACATCTCCATGACTTATTTGGTAACTGGAAGTTTGTTTGATTTTAAGAGTTCATCCATAAGTGATACCAGTCTTTGTCTTCCTCTAACTTTAATACTGTTAGTGAGTATATGCATGCACACATTTCTTATAGGTGTAAAGTATCTCATTGTGATTTGATTTGCAGTTCTATGATGATTAGTAATATTGAGCCACCTTTTCATGTACCTATTGACCCTCTCTATTTGTCTTCTTTGGGAAAATATTTAGATCCTCTGCCCATTTTTAAATCCAGTTGTTTGCTGGTTTTTTTTGTTTTTGTTTTTGTTTTTCCCATTGAGTTGTATGATTTCTTTATATATTTTGGACAACAGTCCTTTATCAGAGATATAATTTAAAATATTCTCATTTTTCCTTTTCATTTTGTTGATGGTTTCCATTGCTGTGCAATGGTTTTTTTGTTCAACATAATTACTTAAGTTTATTTTTGCTTTTGTGTCACAAAAGTATTGCTAAACTAATCCCTAGGAATGTAACTGCTTATTTTTTTTCTAGAAGTTTTATGGTTTTAGATAGTAATCATTTGACTTAGTTTCTGTGTATGGAATAAGTTAGTGGTCCAGCTTCATTCTTTTATGTGTGGTTCTCTAGTTTTAACAGGCCAACTATGCATTTGTTTGTTATATACTAATTTATTGAATAGAATTGTCGTTTCCTTACTGGATATTGTATATTCTTCATTCCTTTGTGGCATGTTAATTGACCATATATATATATGGGTTTATTTATGGATTCTAAATATTTCTTTCATTATGCTCTCTTTGGATTTATTTTGTTACATTCCTAACTTTTTGCGATAAGTGCATACACAACTTTTTCATCTCTCTGTTTTCTCATACATGTATTTAAAGCTATATATTTTGATAAGAGTATTTTTGTTACATAATTCAAAGTATTTCATAATTTTCATGATTTCTTCTTTGACCCAGGCTTATTTGGAATTTAATTTCTAAACATATAAGGGTCTTGGTTACCTTTTTGTTATTGGTTCATGTATTTAATATGTGATTAGATTAGCTTTTAGATGACTATATAGTAAGTTTTTATAAATTAATATTCCCTCTCTATGTTTAAAACATGCTCTGTGTTCTCATTGTTGTGTTACTCCATTTAAATTAAATATTAGTTTTTCATCTGTTCTGTTAATTGCAAGAAACATTAAAATCTTTACTATGATTTTAGATATATCTGTTTTTCCTTAGATTTCTGTTCAGTTTTCACTTTAATATGTTTTGTGATTTAATAACTTAGTTACATAAGTGCTCCCCTATCAGTCTTCCAAAATATGCAGAGTCATATTACCAATTTGAACCAGTCTTAGTTTTCAGTTGTAATTATTATGTGAATCTTTTTGTGATTGTTTCTTCAGTTCTTTGTTATCTTTTTTGGATTCTTCAGGTTGTTTCGGAGGAGGGAGCAGCAGTACTAATTCACCATGTAGTCAGGAGAGTCATTGTTTTTCAGAAATTAAATAATGTAGGGCCCTCCCTGGTGGTGCAGCAGGTTAAAGCTCAGCTCTTTGAAGCTATTCACAGCAACTGAAGAACAAGTTCAATCCCCAACCAGCAGGGTTACCCACATAGCGCAGCAATCCTGCCTTGCCCACTGCTCCCCTCAGCATTGTACTTCCGTAGACCTGCCTGTTCTGTTCCCCACTCCATTTCTGGTGAATCCTCTCACTCTTCCCAGGCCCCTCACTTCTGGCCTATCTCCCAGTTCTTGTATGCATAAATAAATCATAAGAAAAAGAAAAAGAATGTAAGTGTTGAAAAGTGAGAAATGTTTTGAATATTTTAGGCAATAGTCCAGAAAGAAAATGTTTTTAAGTTCAGCATCTAGTCATATGTGAAAGCCCAAGAATATTAGATGGGTTCTTCTGATGACTAATTATATCACACTGTCACTTTAGAAGTATCCCTCTTGTGTTCCACATTGCTTTAGACAACATAGCAATAAACAGAAGTTAAAATGTGAAGTCTCAGGGAAATGCACGAGACTATGGTGGTGGCACAGGGGTGATTTGGTGATGGGAAACCCGTGGGGATTACAATCGAGATGGAAAAAAAAAATGTGCAAAATGATGTAAAAATAAACTTTGTAATAAAAAGAAAAAAAAATGTGAAGTCTCTGTACCTCAGGAACTCATTGAGTGGTTCAAGAGCCTGAGATTTAAAAGATGGGAGATGATCTTGTCCTGAAGCTCTAGATAAGAATTTGACAACCTGAGGTAGGAGAAAAAACATTTCAGTGAACAAAGGCTGAAAACTTTATGTAAATGAAATTGTAAAAATATTACTTACAAAATGTCTTCATTTTTCTATTTTTACAAAGTGTTTCCTACCATTTAAAAACTAGTATTTTGCTCAGTAAGTCATATTACAAAAAATAGTAGGAAGCTTAATAGATGACCAAAATCAAGGTTAGAGATTTCTAAGTCATACTGTGAACCTTTTAATGTTTGATATGGATAATTATATTTATGTACAAATGGATATGGCTCTGTTCTAGGTTTTTTTTCTTTTATTTAATTATCACAGTAATTTGGAAAGTAAGTAGAGTTATTTATGTTAGTTGAGAAAACAGGTCCAAAAGGAATGATCTTGAAAGGAATAACTGAGAAGGACACAGCAAGGACTCACACCTAGGCAGCCCGGCTCCAGAATTGATGTTTATATTTTTTATCTAAAATGTGATTGATAACATTTTTATAATGTATTTCTGATTTTTTAATCCTCATTGAGAAAAATTACTAGGCATTTGTGGTATCTGTTAGCTGGATCATATTTTTGAAATGTTTATATATATATTTTTTTAAGACCAAGTTGGAAATCCAGAAGGCCCTTGCAGAAGATTCTACTGTATATGAATATGACAGTATTTATGATGAAATGCAGAAAAAAAAGGAGGAAAATAATCCCAAATTGCTTTTAGGACAAGATCGAAAGGTTTGTAGCTGAAAAATACAAACTTTCTGTAATTTTGATTTTCATTTTGTTTCTCAACCTTATTTCAACATGAAGATGACCATAAAAAAAACAGCTCTTAGATATGTGAAGTATAAAGGGCCCTTAGTTCCAGATAAATAGATTTGATTTAGAACCTATGAAACCTTACATTGAATATCCTAACAGTAAATAATCTACAACTTAGTAATACTTTTTTGCTTATATTTTTGAGGTAATGCTGGTTTGCAGCACTGTATATATTTGAGAGTACACATTTATATCTCTGATTTTTGCTTTGCAGATAATCTATCATATGTATTTTTTTTTAATCATCCTTTTATTGTTAGTTTATTTTTCCTAACTGGTAAAGCTCCTGCACATATTATGACCACCTTTATTGTTTGGAAAAAATATTGGGGGCAGAGGTTGTTTTTATACAAACACAGACTGGTTTTTAAGGAATTTAGCGTCAAAAGTACCGACAAGTAGAGTGGTAGTATAAAATTCTACTAAAACTGCTTTTTAAAATAATCATATTAAACCAATGGGGAAAATTAATAGCAGTCTTTCTGATTTATAAATCTATTGAAGATAGTACCAGTAAAAAGAATGAGAAAAACACTGGGAAAATGATTTCATTTGATATGAATAATTTCTGTCTTTGTGCTTGAATGTTTATTGAAAAGAATTTAGTGTAAATCTTGCCAAGTGAAATTTGAAAAGGTGAAAACTCTCCCTATTTGGACTAGACAGTTTTAATGACTTCACAATTTAAAAAATAGAATATTAATGAATACTACTTTGGGACTCTTTCCTAAATAAACTTATTTTTCCCCTAGCCCAAATATATTCACAACTTACTAAAAGCAGTTGAGATCAGAAAAAAGGAACAGGAAAAAAGAATGGAAAAGAAGATACAGAGAGAGCGAGAAATGGAAAAGGGAGAATTTGATGATAAGGAGGCATTTGTGACATCTGCTTATAAGAAAAAACTGCAAGAGAGAGCTGAAGAGGAAGAAAGAGAAAGGAGGGCTGCTGCACTTGAAGGTAAAATGGAAGAGGGGGAAGGCTAGAAGAAACAAACAGCAGAATTTTGCCCTGTGGTTAGCCATTCGCTCTCTATCACTGAACTTTGGATTATTATGTTGTGATCATAATTTATATAAGTGAAGTCAAGGTACAAGATACTGTATTGCAGAATATTATAAAACAGAGGCAATTTTAACTAAAAACAGTCGCACTCTTTAGTAACGATTCTTTCTACTGGGCTTTTCACTTATTTCTCAATTTGTTGCTTAAGGCTATGATCATCAAAAGACATAACCATAATACTTGTTAGGAGCAATATGGACATTGACTTTACTCCTAATTATATTTTCTGGGGTTGAAATAGGAGTGACACCAGTCAGGGAGCATCAACTGGGCATTCAAAAAAAGAATAACATCAGTTCAGGAAAGATCAAAAATGTAGTGGGATTAAAGCATACCATAAACTTGTACTCATGGTCATTTCTTGGTTCTAAGTAAGATATATATTTATAAATCATTTAATTGGCTTATTATCATCGACTTTTAAGTGGAAGAAAATTAAAATTGCTGTTATCTAAGCATGTGCTATGTTTTCATTTAGAGCACCAATCAGCAGACTTTCTATAAAGGACTAGGAAGCAAATAGTTCAGGCTTTGTGAACCTTATGATCCCTGTAGAACATGCTCGATTTGACCTTTATAAAGTAAATGCTGCCTTGGACAAAACATAAGCAAATAAAAATTTATTTGCAAAACAGACAGGAGGCCTGTTTGACCTGCATCACCTATAGTTTGCCAGTTTCTGATCTTGAAAACAGTTTGCACATATGTGTATTATACACTGAATACCTATAAAGAAAATTACGTTGTATCTTGTTGGATATATTCTTATTTTTGCTTTTTTCCTCTTAGCTCGTTTGGATGTAACCAAGCAGAAAGATCTTAGTGGATTCTATAGGCACCTACTAAATCAAGCAGTTGGGGAAGAAGAAGTGCCTACCAGCAGCTTTCGTGAAGCCAGGTAAGATGTGGCATAGCAAATATTCAGAAAAGATGGTGTTCATAATCTGTGTTTATGGGATCATTTTAACCTCTGGAAGGTAGAGCATTGCAGTGTTGCAGCACTATGTAGTTGCCGCAGCCACTGCAGCATAAGTTCAATTCCTGGTTAGGGAGCTGACCCACATGGGGTGGCAGACCTCTCCTGACCCTCCCATGCTGCCCTCAGCAGTGTATTTCAGTCAGTCTGCCTGTTCAGTCGTTGTCTCTGATGAATCTTTCCCCCCAACACATACACACCTCTGGCCTTTATCCTAGTTCTTGAATGAATGAATGAATGAATGAATGAATGAATGAATGAATGAATGAATGAATGAGTGAGTGAGTGAGTGAGTGAGTGAGTGAATGAGTAAGTGAGTAATGTAAATAAACTAATCACATATCAACTGAGAAAATGTTGATGTAAGTAATTTTAGTGTTACTGTAATAACTGGACAGATTCCATTTTGTTAGGATAGGATGTATCACAAAGGATATTTCAGAATACTACTGCCTATTTAATCATAAAGGGTTATTTAGTAATATTGCCGCTGTTTTACTATGAAAATAGTGTCTTCATATATTCCCAGGATGCTTAATTTTCTTTTAAAAGAAAATATTTCTGATAGAACCACAACTTAAACTTCATGTTATAAAAAATAATAATACTGATGTAATGGAATATATCTTACCTTTCTCAGTTATATTTATGCTTAGTGAAAATGAATACTTTGCACAGATCCTTGCTTGAATGTTCTAATAGCCCAAATACAGGAGGATTGATTGTCTCTATTTCACTTCCACCAATAATAAAAATACTCTGAATAAGAAAATATAAGTTTGTAGATGTCTACCGAGTAAACAAACATCATTTCCTTTTCATAGTTGTATGATCGGAAAGTAATGTACTTGTAGTTTTAATGACTTAAATATGAGGAAAATTATGTGAACATTTTGCATACTACAGTTGATAATGTGACATTTTGTTTTATATAATTTTTTGAAGGTCTGAGATAAAGGAAGAGAAACCTAGGGGTTATTCTGATGAAGTAAGTTCAGAGAAAAGAATACCACATGAGAAATGCATTGTTCAAACTGTTGTGAAAGTAAAGGATAACCCAGATGCGGACAGTGATTTTGATGCTAAAAGCAGTGAGGATGATGAAATGAAAGAAAATATTGTGAACTGCAGAAGAGAAAGACACACAGAAGACACTAAGAGGAACTTCAGACATCACAGGAATCTAACACATTCACGATCATCTAGTGAAGAAAGAGAGCATGGTACCAAACACCACACAAAAATTTCCAAGTCAAGAGGGCATGAGAAAAGGGAAGATCAGCACCAAGAGAAACAATCCAGGGACCAGGAGAACTATCACACTGACCGTGAATACTGGGAAGAAAGGAAGGATTCTCATAGACACAAAGAGGCTAGTCACAGAGAGTCCCACTGGAAGCAGCATGAACGGGAAGATAAATTGAGGGGGAGAGGTCAAAGAGAAAGAAATGACAGAGAACAGAAAAGGGAGAAAGACAGAGAGAAATATCCACCAAGAGAACACGAAAGAGGTAGAGAAAGTGATCACAACCGACATAGTGAGAAAGAAAGAGAAAAGGAAGAAAGAAGCAGAGAAAAGAACGAGCATATGAAAACAAGGAAAGAACGATATGAAAACAATGATAAATACAAAGATAGAGAAAGACGAGAAGTAAGTGTTCAATCCTCAGAAAGAAATCAAGACAGAAAAGAAAGAAGCCCAAAAGAAACAAAGGATAAGTTTCTTGATCAGGAAGGATCCAGTAAAATGAGAAGCATGGAAAAAGACAAAGAAAGAAAGCCAGAGAAACGCTCTAGTTCTGAAATATCACTGGGAGAAAAACATACAGTTGCAGAAGAAAGCCAAGAGCTGGGCAAAGAACAAGAGAGACCAACTGAGACAGTCAGCAAGTTTGCAAAACGTAACAATGAAGAAACTGTAATGTCAGCTAGAGACAGATACTTGGCCAGGCAAATGGCACGCGTTAATGCAAAGACATATATTGAGAAAGAAGATGATTGATGACTGCCTCAATAAAAAGACCTGGTGAAAGTTCAGAAAATTAGTAACTCCTGGAACATGTGATAAGACTACAAAAGAGTGTGTTGACAGTGGTTGAGAGGATATTTTTTAATATTTTTAAAATCCACTTTTGGTTTAAGGTTTAAAGCAAAAGTAAAACCTTTTATCTTAAATGTTTGAATTGGTGTATAATATTTACTTATCAATGCCACATTTTTTATTGTGAAACCACATTTTTGGTTGTGAAATGTAAACAGTGCTGTGTCCTATAGGTACTTAATGAGGAAAATTGGTTCTACAACAACCATCAAAATTTATTTAAATGGCTCTCTCCTAATGTTTTGTTGTAGGAGCTGTTTTTATAGGTATTATATTTCAAGTAAAAATATATGATTTGAACAACTTGTTGTTTATGTTCTGAAATTTGTATTAGAGTGTGAATATGAATCATATATCACCTACATAACTAGCTCACAGCATATATAGCTTAAATAAAAACATAAAAATAGTGATGTTTATACATAAAATCCATGCTTATATTTTGTTTTTCACTATATGCTATAACTTTTTGTAAATTTTAAATCACTGTATGCCCTAAAAAAATTAGTATATTGGTTATATATATATAAATTAGCTTAGCTAAAACTGGAAGAAAAAAAAAGGCAACATTTCGCCTAAATATAATTAAAGACCCAGGGGCCTATTTTATGAATGTCTTGTTTTATTGTACTCTAAAAAGATAGTACAGCTTACTATATAGTTTGTTATGTCTCCAAGTAAAACTAGAACTTTTGTATTAAGTCTTTGAAAACTTACAACTTAAAATATAGGTAATTCATGGAGAATGAGTGGTATAGAGAAAAGTTATTTACAGGTTTTCTAAAAAGTCATACTTTATCATGAACTTACCTTATCTTTATAAGGATAGATTTATTTTAATAAGGAGATTAACTTTTAGAAAAAGCGTTGTATGTTGAGGACGAAATTTAGCACTTATAAGTCGTTTAATTATACCTTTAAAACCAGAAAGAAAAAGTAACAAAGGTAAGGCTCATCTCTCTTGACTGACACATTACATATAATTTACACACACATATTTTAGCAAACTAAAGAATGTGACTGTAACAAACAAAAATGTACTGGCTTAGTGAATATTAAAGGGCTAAATAGTATAAGTATAGTGGGTAAGTTAAGATAATGGAAGATCATGAATAACATAAAAAAATTTTCAACTTTGGTAGAGAATAGGATTCCTTTTTTAAGCTTGTTATAACTAGAACCATATATGGGAAAGCTTAATTTGACCCTTTCTACAAGATACAGTCTAGGAGGAAGAGAATGGAATTGTTTGGATAGCTCTTTTTGAGTTTTGTTTTTTCCTATTGAGGGTGTGGGTAGGGCATGAGAGGGGGAGGGTAGGCAGTGGTAATACTACCTGCCCTTTTTTTCATGACTTATTTTGGGTTTTTGTATATTCTAGGTAGGAATTTGTCTTTCTAAAGAGAACTTGGAAAGTTCAACATTTGCTTTTTTACTTTAATAGTTTTTAATGAACAGAATCTTTAATTTTGCTAAAACTCAAAATTTAAAATTAGTTCTTTAGCTAGATCTAGACACATTGAAAGTTTTCAGCATTCATTTAGTAGCTGCTGTATAGAAAAGTTCACATTTATAGAACATTTCTATTGCAGCAGAAAATTCTGGACAATATTCTTGTATGAAAGCATCATTGTCTGCTTTTCACCTTTAGATCTACCATGCATTGAGAGTGAATTTTCGTGTATGTATAGCAAGGATTACAATTGTTATCAGAGCCAGCAGTGAATGAAAATTTGTTCAAAATAAGGGTTGTCAGCCTGAGCAGGTAAGCTTATACACAGGGCGTTTTTCAAATACCAGATTTTCTTAAGAGATAACTCATTATTAGTACGTGAGAATAATCTTTGAATTTTTTCCAAAATAATTAGCAAATACTCTTGTAGAAGGTATTTTAACATTAAGATGGGGTAACTCCTTCCCCAAAATTTGGTTGAGCTGACATTTTTTTATAAATAGCTAGAAATAAATTAAGGGAATTCTTCAGTTACACAATTGAAGGACTGATAACCATCTATTCTCTTTCCTAAACAATTAGGTTCTTAGTTAAACGTATATTAATTTTTTTTAATGAGATAGTCCATCATGCTCACTATTTCTAAATTAGAATTGACCAGTGGAAAAAAATCTCTTTTAATTGCTTAAAAAAATAAATTTACATTGGTGGTAGAACAGCTTGACATGGGTTTTGTTGTGTGTTGGTAAGAATAATACCTCCTGAAATTTCAGTTAAAATACCATGAATCCTTTCAAAGATTTCCTTGAAAATATGAGTTGCTTTGAAACCAGTAACTAATGGAAACAGTAACTAATAGATTCCAGCTATGTGAAACAAAAGGACATGTATGATTACATCCTTAAATATGTTTTTCCATAGTGAATGCCAACCAAGCCAATGGTGAGTGATATTTCACTGTAGCAGAGGAAACAGAAGTTCACCTTTAGAAATGTTCAGATCACAAAAACTGCATTAAGAAATTAATTTGGTGACCAGGTTTGTCTTTTTTGCCTCTAAGGTAGTCATCTGAACTTCAAATATTGTTCTACCATTAAAATTTAGACAGTTAAACAAATGAGTGAAGAGGATGGTACTATAGATTTAGCTCTTTGAAATATTATTCTATGTAAACATGACAAATTTTAATAAATACTTATAGTGAAAGAAAAAACCAGAATGTTTGAAGTGGACAAGAAAGGCTTTCTGCAATATAAGGGATATTTCCTGTCTTAATGTATCTTTTTACATATTTGGACTTAAAAATTTCTTTCTCTAGCATGTTTCTCAAGCTAGCATGTTTCTCAAGCAAGCATTTTCTAAGTTCACTTCCTAGTCTTTTGTGTAACTCCTTGTATTTAAATGTATAAGCTCCATAGTGTCTTTAAAATTTAAACTTGTGATTATGACAATTTTGCTTAAAAGCAAAATTTTCAGGGTGTAATATGGAGGTTTTCAGGGTGTAATATGGAGTCTGAAAAACAACCTCTTTCCCACCCTGACCAAAAAGAAAAATGGGAGGGTGAAAAAAAAAAAAAAAGCTCTGATTACTGCTGTTGAATCATTCTGAAAAGTTCTGAGATTTTAAACTCCAAGTGTTAATTTGAGTAGAAAGGCATGCTAAATAAAGAATCTAGACTTGGATTGTATCTCTAAGTAGCCAATCACTGTCTAAGATATATGTAACAATAACCCAGTTAAACAATTGCACTCCATGGTGTTAAGCTTTGCTTTAACAGTAAACATCAATATGTAGCAGATAAAATATATCAGATGTCCTATTTATCAAAAATACTGATTTAAAGATTGGTGGTACTACATTGTTTCGTAAAAGAATGGCAAGGAAGTGACATCTTAAAGGATATCTTTTTACTTATTTTGAGGTTTCATTATTTGATTTGGGGGCTATTACTTTGACTTTGGGTTTGTCAGGATCGTTACATCCATCTACAGATGGATGGTTAGAACACAACTGAAATGACAAATTTTTGGTTTCTCACACGACAAAATGGAGTTAAGTTTTAAGTGGTTCGTAAATGTTAACAAAGGAGAGCAGTTATTTGAACTTCATTGCATTTATATATGGAAAACTTCCAATAAGTGAATTGTTTTCATTGTCTGTCTTGTGTCTTTCCTATTGGGTATTTCTGTCTGATAAAACTACACAAAAGTCAGACTAAAATAATTCAACAATTCAGTTCCTTTTTTTCTTTTTACTTTTATGTAAATGCTCACTTGATGTAAAATGTCTTTAAAGATTCTTTTAAAGTCCATGTTCCTACTCTTAAGTTTCCCTTTAAAATGTCCACAATAGAATTAATATCTAGGAGTCACATGTATGCAAACTGCAGCACAGAGATTTCTGAGTATGGTGAAGATTGTAAAGTTCAAAGTACCTATGTGATTCCCTTAACACCTGGCTTGGAAAAACAGTTGTGCTTTTTAAAAAAGCACATTTGGATGCCTGTGTGTGTGTGAATGTGGAGAAAGCATATCTGAGTATCTTTAGAAAGCAAATTCTTAAAATTTGAAGATACTGCTGAATATGCTTTTACTTTTATAACCTTTCTCCTTTCAGCATGCTAGAAAGTGTAGAGAAGTGGAAATACGATACAAGGAAGGAATGCAAGTGAAGATAATAAAGGTAGGTCAGTGAAGAGTTACTTTTCAGTTCGCTCACTTCTCACTAGCTAACATCTGCAAGGAAAATATTTTGCTGGGAAAAGCAAAGACTCATGGAAGGATATATGGGGAATACAGGAAGATGGTTGGGCAGAAGAAATTACTGGGAAAAGGAAGCCAGAAAAAAAAAGCCATAATTTGATAAAAGCAGGTCTCTGTTATATGGGTCTTTTTTAAGATCATTAGAATTAAATTTGACTTATTTTTAAAGGACTGACGGATACCATTAACTGAGTTTTATTTCCTTTAAGATTTGGTAAGGAAACATTACACTAAAAGCTAAATTTGCTTTTCTACCAATGCATCAGAGTCATGAGGTACTAAATGCCAAATTTCCTTGATCTGTACTAAGGACAATGGCAAATGAAAGGGTCACTCACTTAATCGACCCTTTTGCAGTCAACCTTGCATATACTCATTCTCGAAAATTATCCACAGGGCTCACAGTCATGACTACTAGGAAAGGTGAAAGGAGAGATTTTAAAAATTTAGGCTTTTGAAGGATAACCCAGAGTGTCCAATTAACTTTTAGATTGAGAATGACCTTGGTTGAGATCAGGATGCTTACACAGTGTAAGCAAGATTTATCCTCTTTTCAGTAAAGTAACTTGAACAGTTAATCATTTGAAGTAGCCAGAGCTTAAACCACATAGTGAACTGAACACCAAACAGGCTTTTGTCAATTTCTAAAGTAGACCAGATTTGCTTGTGTGACATCAGAATGATCAGAAGATGGCAATGAACTGTAGCAAATGCTAAAGACAGGCCCATGACAAAGTAGTGTCTCTGGATAAGGAGAAGATGGCAGTTAGACCCTTTAAATAATAACATGCATACACATTTGAGTAGGTGGAATTAAAGGAAATTCATATAGTTTGCACTGGACCCAAAATACTGACATAGATTTAAGGATACACTGAAATACCAATATACAGAGACACGTGATTACATGTACATGTCATTTTTCCATTTAGTTTCTTACATCGTTCCTGATTCCATAGTAGCACAGAGGGTAGAGGGTTCTAGTAGATTCCAGCTATAGAATTCTATGCTATTCAGAAAATATATGGCTAGCAAGAAGCATCCCTGTTTTCCCCTACATGATTTATGCATTCATGAACAATAAAACCTTT